GCCTCCCGCTGGCCCCTCGCTGGGCTCTCCCCACTCTGCCCAGGTCCCTCCTGCCCCGGGGGGGGACCTGTCCTGGTTTAACCCCAGCCAGCAGCCGGGACCACGCAGCCGCCTGCTCACCCCCCCGGCTGGGATGGGGGAGAGAACTGGAAGACTAAAAGTGAGGAGAAAGTCGTGGGTTGAGATAAAGACAGTTTAATGGGTAAAGCAAAAGCCGCGCACGCAAGCAAAGCAGAACAAGGACTTCATTCCCCACGGCAGGCGGGTGCTCAGCCGTCCCCAGGACAGCCGGGCTCCATCACGCCTAACGGTGACTTGGGAAGACAAACGCCATCACTCTGAACGTCCCCCCTTCCTTCCCGCACCTTTATATACCGAGCATGACATCATATGGTCTGGAATATCCCTTTGGCCACTTGGGGTCGGCTGTCCCGGCTGTGTCCCCTCCCAGCTCCTTGTGCCCCCCGGCCCATCGGCCCATCGCTGGTGGGGCGGCGTAAGGAGTAGAAAAGGCCTTGAGAGCTCAGTAACAACCCAACCCAGCAGTGCACTATCGCACCATTCCCATCCCAAACCCAAAACACAGCACCACACCAGCTGCCAGCAAGAAAGTCAACTCTGTCCCCGCTGAAACCACAACAGGAGCCCAGCGCTGGACCCAGGACTCCAGGGGTGGCCTCAGCAGCGCTGAGCAGAGGGGAAGGATCGCCACCTCCCTCAGCCCCTCAGCTGGCAATGCTTTGCCTAAAGCAGCCCGGGATGCCATCTGCCTTCTGTGCACAAGGGCCAATTGCTGGTTGATGGTCAACTTGGTGTCCAACAGGTCCCCCTGGGCCTTTTCTGCTGAGCTGCTTTCCAACTGGGTGGCCCCCAGCACATACTGGTGCTGCGGGGTTGTCCCTCTGCGGGGGCAGGACTTTGCGCTGTCCCTTGGTGAATGTCACGGGGCTCCCGTCAGCCCGTTCCTCCGGGTCCCCTCTGGCGCACAGCCGCTGCTCCCAGCTCGGTGTCACCTGCAGACTCGCTCAGGGAACTCCCTCCCCCATCCTCCTGGTCATTAATAAACACGTTAAATGGGCCTGGACCCAGTATTGAACCCTGGAGTACACTGGTCGTCACTGGCCTCCAACCAGACGTTGTGCCACTGATCGCCCACCACCCTCTGGGCCCGGCCATGCCGCCAGTTTTCAGTGCACCCCACTGTCCGCTCATCCAACCCACGCTGCCACAGCTTCTCTGGGAGGATCTTACAGGACACGGTGTCAGAACCCTCCCTGAGGTCTGGGTGGACAATGGCCACTGGGCTCCCTCGCCTGCTGGCCCGTCATTCCATGGCAGAAGGTCATCAGGCTGGTCGGGCACAGCACCCCCTTGCTGAAGCCGTGCTGGCTTCTCCTTTGTGTGCTTGGAAATGGTTCCCGGATTAGTTGTCCCGTCACCTCCTGCTCCCATCATGTCCCCAGGGACAGAGGCGAGGGTCCCCCCCAAACTGTCCTCCCCATACCTCAGCACTCCCAACAGCCCCCGGTGACAGCAGCCCGCCTTACACACCCAGCTCCCCC